AGCTCGCGTGTGAGTGCATTGTACCTAACCACATAGCGTATGTGCAGTCCTGAGTGTTTTGTTGAGACTAGCCTAGCCATGACTAATATTGTGAGTGTTTGTGTGTCTGTGCCAGCTGTGAGCGAGCCCGAGCGTGCAGTAAATGACGTAATATTTATTTCTTCTCTCGACCAATCACGTTGCTCATAAAGTCTCCCATAGCGGAATGGTTTGGGAATCGCAAATTCGCGCCCGGGACCCGTACGATGAGGAGCCATTTACCGTTCTAACGGTCAGATGAAAACGCTGGGAGCTACTCAGCAATACGGCGCCCGTACGGCTGATGAAAAATACCCCGGCGCCCGTATAGGAACTGTACAGGAGCCAGCCGGACACCGGCTGAAAATCCCCCAAAATGTCTGCTTTTACTCGCCGCAAGGGCGCAAGAGTATTTGCCCCATAAAGAGTGTCCTTTTACAATATACTGCTATTATCAATTCTCTGTTAATACTTGGCTTCACGGAGTACTTCTTCATAAAGTAGCAACGTACGTACACGTAGTGGCGGATCCAGGGGGCGGGGGCCCGGCCCCCCTCCCCCTTGAAAAAAAATGTGTATTTTACATTTTTTAACGTTAATTTTTACCTCTTTTTGGAGAAGCCCCCCCCCCCCCTCCCTGGCGCTCAATGGAATGGGGGAGGGGTGCAATTTTGAACATTGGGTGGATAGTGATTCTTTACAATTTTTATATATTTGGATGCCCCTGTGGATATATTATACGCACAAACAAATTTAGACCCTAAAAAACTTCTGCTTTTGAGAAAAAACATGAATATTGCTCCCAGTAAATTTTGATGAATTTCAAATAGGTTCTACGGCCTTACAATGGTAGCTGCGACCATGAAAACCTCCGAATATGTAGTTGTGATGTATAATTTCCAAACTGGAATATCTAATCGGTCGATTTTAATCAAGAAACATTGTTTTATAGCTTAATTAATATCTTGATCTTGAGAGAGAGAGAGAGAGAGCTATACAACATAAACAGTTTATTATTTACAATTTCGTAACTCATTAGACTCGATTTCAACCGCGAAGACGATCACTAAATATTTTAGGATCGCATATGCTTCCAATATGTTCAATTGGAAAAAAATCATGGCCCCATACCAACATTTTGTTTTACCTTTAATAAAGATATGTTTAGACAATATCATGTAAACACGTGTATAGTTCCTTAAAGAGAAGGTTCATTGATTTAAAAAACTAACTTTAATTTCATTATTGCAAAGGTGACAAGGCTTGGATACATTCGAAGTAACGCTTAGATACAGCCCGACATAGCACCTGAACAGCTCCCCGGTCGCTGCTGAGATATGACGTCACATGTTGAACATGATGTGCACAAACAGACGATGTCCCATGACATCTCACACAATTTCAGTGCCTGTTTTGTCATCTTTTCTTCAGTTACTTCTCTTACTTCAATACCCTCAGGCGAAATGTTTACTCTATTGCCTCACCCTTAACCCCGTGCATGGTATTATTTTGATGAAAAATGCAAGAATTAAATTTTAAAAAACGAATCCGTTGCTTAAATTGTAAACAAAATAAGACGCCATTGTATTTTCACCTGTATACACCGTGGCATGTTCGGCGTTTCAAGAGGGAACAAGATGACGTCAATGTGAAAGTGTGGTTTCTTTGATTGTTCATTAACCCATATCCAAACAAAAAGAATTTCGTTATCAGAATGGAGGTCATAACTATTTTTGAATGGTGTAAAATTCTATCGCATTTATATACACTAAACTCATTATAATTTGAGAAATAAAAGCATTGCAATTATGTTCATTCTTTATGGAATGTCGTCTGCTTGGGCAGGGTTGGTTCATATTGTGACGGCATTAAAATATCGTTATTTCAGGCGAATCTCTGGCATATCCCAGATGCTATGGAGGTTGTTTTATTTGTATTTTTATAAACCCCCCGATATGTAGTTGACCTAAAACTTGCATGATGGCCATCTGTTAGCTTACCAGTTTCTAGTAATACGCTATTTGCCATATTTGTGATTTTCTATGAACCCGCACTTTAAGACGAGTCACGAAAGTAACTGCATTTCGGCCAGTGGACACTTTTCGTCAATCGTAGACTCATCTCGCTGATCTGAAGTAGAATTCGGCGATGTGTCAGCTAGGCGCATCTCGCCAGGCAAGAAAAACAGGGCATGGAGACAGAATAAGAGGCCTATACACTGCAAAACCGTATTTGTGCGATACAGACACGAACTAAAATAGTGGCTTTACAGGTCAACGTGATAGAAACAATGGAATCGTTACATATTTTCAAAGTGTCGATCTCCTCCTGGCTTCTTCATTCTTTTTTTTTTCCACGATTTTCAGTGATCGAAATTGTTTCAGTAGTCTCTCTCTCTCTCTCCTCTCCTGTGATATGTTGTGTTTATACTTCAATCCTCTCTTTTATACACCTTTCCCTTGTTTCCTTCTCATATTCTATACAATTCCCACTTCTCCTTGAATGACTCATGTATTCATGAACCATTTTATGATTAGTAATAAAGCAATCGTTACTTTATATCTCTTATTTTCATCGTAATAATAATAATAATAATAATAATGATGTTGATAATAATAAATAGTGATAATTTTGATAAAAATCCTGATATTAATGATAATAACTGTTGATAATAATAAAAATGATGATGATAATAATTATATTAGTATACACACGTCTTAAATTGTTTGTATTAAAAACATGTACTGTATGAATCACACATGGACTCAAATAACTATTCAGCAGTCTTCCCTATTGGAACATTTATTTCAATTACTAGTGATCTCTAATGAAAAATATATATCAATACAAAAATATATCATACGAACAGAAATATATAAAAAACATACATCCTTGAAACATGAAAGACTTATAAGGGGTAATATCCTAGTACTGTATAATGAATGGCTTTGGAGGAACATGAATATAGAAATTAAACAAAAGATATATTACATATTTAGAAACATATTTTAAAATGGCAATGAGACAAAAGAAAGTACGTGTGCGTTAATAAATTTACTTGCATTGTGCTACATGACACATCTATTGTAAGCCTGCTTTGTTTCAATACATCATGCATACATTCATGTATTTTTATTCTTTTTCAACCTAATTCATTTCTACATCATTATTAAAGCGACATTTTCCTAAACAACAGAAAGGACCTACGAGAAAGTTTTGGTTAAACTTCCCTTAATCTTTATTTAATCTGCATAACCTTTGAATTAATTAACTAAACAAACAGGTCCTTGTTACACAATCCTTTAATTGAAAGGGAAGCAAGTGGGATACAAAATATTCCTGGTGGTGGGGGGGGGGGTTAACTTTGGTATGTGACAAAAAAATGTCACAAGTACAAGTGCACGAGGTAAAAAATATTGTTTTTTATTCATAAAGGAAATATCTAAAGTTACTGTTTGTATTGTTTTAGTGCTATGTATTTACCCTATATGATCACATTATTCTGGGTACTTGAAAGCCCTTTTCTACATAATTTGCAAATAAATCTATTCATACAAAACCATATCAATTAAAAAGAGTATTCATCTAATAGATATATAAAGAGAGAGAGAGAAGAGAGGGATGGTATACTCCCCCATAACATAAGCATTTGAAATAAATATATCGAAAATTTGTACTATTTAAAGTCTTAAAATTGATCCGCATTAAGAGCATGAGATAGGAATCAGCTATTTAGATAACAGTTAAAGAGAAAGCATATGTTACCACATTCATGATGTTTTGTGAGATAAATATAAATTACTTGATCAATACATATATGATATCGAACCCATCCTGGTTAACAATGCAGCCCTTGTACACTCACAGATACAGAAAATCGTATTAAATTCTTTTTAACATTTATCTTAAAATATTTCTTTATCATTAGTTTTATGTTTTTAACAAAGACTTGCTGACAAGCAGTATTTTTAGACTGATTTGAGTAAACCTTAATTAGTATAATAGTATGATCGTTTGTAACAGAGACTTAGCATGATTACATCAATTTATTCGGTCAATCGGTTAAATGCAAATACCGTAAGCCCTTAATTAATATAATAGAATGATTGTATAAACTTTGATATTTAGCCTATCAAGGGGGTTACTTTGTTGCCTGGCAAAAATGTCTCAGGTAAAAGTACAAGAGGTAAATAATGTTATTTATATTCATAAAGGAAAGATTTAAAATGACTGTTTGTACTGTTTTAGCGCCATGGATTGATCCCATATGATCATACTATTCTGTTTACTTGATAGCCCTCCTTTCTACATCATATGCATTTTAATCTATTCATACAAAATCAGAATGCTAAATAGTGTATTCATCTAATATATATATATATATAGAGAGAGAGAGAGAGAGAGAGGGAGAGAGAGAGAGAGAGAGAAAGAGAGAGAGAGAGAGAGGAGGTGTTATACTTTCGCTACCATAAGCAATTGAAATAAAACTATAAAAAATTCGTACTATTTAAAGACTTAAAATTGGTACACGTTAAAAGCATGTGATAGGAATTGGCTCTTTAAATAACAGTTTGGGTGAAATCATGTTTTACCACATTTTTAATTTTTTGTAACATGAATATAAATTACTTGATCAATAAAGGTATGATATCAAACCATTTCTAGATTAAAGAGAAGGTTGAGTTCTGGGAAGAGGTGAAAAATAATTTGTGAGCATTACTCATTCTTATTATGCAAGTGTGGAAGAACATCAGATAAGACATGTTCCCTGAAAAGCATGGCTCTTCAAATGCCTTCATATTCTAAATATGCATGTAATATCGTAAAAATCGGGGGCCGGCTTTTTACGCCACGTGTTCGTGTAGTCCCATATACATCTTTCTGTGTACAGTGTTTGTAACTTTACCAAGACTTGGCTAAATTTCTTATCATTTTGATGATTCCAGAACCTTGCAATACACATAAATTCTTATATGCTAGATGATCAACCTTTTCTTATCGATTCCACACCGTTTCTTTCACAATGCAATCGCATGACCAGAACTCAACTTCATCTTTAACAATGAAGCCCTTATATATTCACAGATACAGTAAATTACATTGAAATTATTCATGTACTTATATCCAATTTGGTCTGTATAACATCAGTTTTATGTTTGTAACACAGACTTGCTGAAAAGCAGTCTTTTTAAAGTGATGTGAGTTTAACATGATTACATCAATTCAATCAGCCAATCGGTCAAATGCAAGTAAGCCGTTAATTGATAAAATAGTATGGTTGTTTGTAACAGAGACTTGGAATGATTACATCAATTAAATCAGTCAATCTGTCAAATGCAAGTAAGCCCTTACTTAATCTAATAATATGATTGTATACACTTTGATATTCAGCCTATCCAGAAGAGAACCCATCTATCCATAAGACGTAACTAATTCACTAAATTCTTTTCCGTTGTCATATTCGTTCTTTGTCCGAAGGTAAGATTCTTGGTGATTAATAATGCATGGGATTTCGCTCCACATCATTGTACTGTAATAAAGAAGAGTAGAACAAAACAGAAAATCAAAGTTTGAAAGAAAATACATATCCTTTGGTATTAAAGTGTACCAATCACTTAACACAATTAAGTTATGTATTGCTAGAATTAATAAATCAAACTTCAACATTTAACCAGGCATCTAATGGATTCACGGTTAAAAGGTAAGGATATAAAACAGTGCACGTGGAACCCAAGTTGGACTTTGGTTCCGTGTGAGCCCTATTAGAAGCGAGTGCTGAGGGTGCACTGCATACTCCATAGTCTACTCACAAATATCTTGTATATCAATTGAGAGTGTTATAATAATTTAAGTTAAAATATTTAAAGTAATATCTCTAAAACTCATATTTGGAATCAAGTGATACAACATGGAACTACTAACATATAAAATAATCTATTTCTGGTGATCAGAGCACTCTAAAATAGAAATAATAAATGAGGGGTTAGAGAAAGGACACAAATGTGACATATCAAGCATTGTAAAATAACTTATACATTAATTAAAAGTAATTCCAGTATATTAAGACTGGGAATGGGTCATTTTCCTAAGATGGTCAAAGTGGAAAAGTCGTGATATAGTGGTCCATTCACTTGACTTTTAATCCAAGGGTTGAGGGTTCGAATCCAAGCCAAGCAATAATGTCCTTTGACTGGAATTAATCCACATTTACTAATCTCTACCAAGGTATTTGTGATGCGAAAGTCACTGCAGTTTGCTTAGCATTGTGGTTTTCTGTAAAACGGCACTTGGCTGGGCTGTTGGCACCTCAGGAGAATGTGCCAACATTTGCATGCATTGTGTGCAGGCAAGCCTAAATCCAATGACCAATGGTAATACTATAACAAGTGCTTAGAGACATTGCCAATGTATCAAGCCCTATTACAAACTAAGATCGTTATTATTACTTAAATTAACATTAAATAATACATATAAAGAATTTTGAAAGGGCAGATTAACTTTCCCACCAATTTAAAGGGGTAACTTATGCCAATCTTGTATAGTTCTAGGGAGAAAGGAGTTGACACGTTGCAATGTTCTTCATTCGATGACTCTGTATGCATCAAATGTCCACAAACAGTGGGTGAAAAGGCCACGCAACAACGCCGCCGAGAGAGCTCAGATTTTATGTCTAGCCCAGAAGTCCTAAATTGGCCCATGACATCTGACAGGTGGCATACCGTATTACAAGTACTCAGAGCCATATACACAAGAGTTTGACCAACTTGATTTCAGTTGGTCAGAACATAGTGTATTTTTGTTCAGTGTCTGCCCATCATAGCAGTATTTGCAAAACTGTGCAAAACTCATATATGGTTGGCCAAACTCAAATATGGTTGGCCAAACTCAAATATGATTGGCCAAACTCTCCTGATAAATGACACTATGAACGCAGAGCATTGTCAAATGCAAATAATCTTCTACATACCGTTTCACTCCCATCTACCACATAGGGAGTCCTGAAATTGCGATCTTCATGACGCTGTTGGGAAGACAAACAATAATACAAGACTTGATAATTTCTTTTTCCTTCAAAACATAATCTATAAAATCATTAAATCGAAAAGTATAGTGATTAAAAACAGATAATCAAGAATCTAGTTGTATCTTGAACAATAATAATAATAAAAAAATCACTAGACCTGTTTATCAATTGTATGCATACTTTAAAAAAAATGTTTTTCTTGACTACTCAAGAACTTGCCAGAGGATTTACCAACATAGCACGAAATAATGTGAGCAAAGTGGATCTCATTCATAGAGATGCAATTATTAGCAGGTGAACGGAATGGCTGGTAATGGGGAGAAGAAACGTGTATAAGTTGAAAGAGTAAGTAAAATGGTCTATTCAATGTGATCATTCATTGTGCAGCTGAATATAATTCCTTACTGATATTCAGATTTTGACATTTACGTTGATATTTCAAGCAGTGGTATGTGTCCTGGAGGCTATGTACGGGATGGGGGGGGGGGTGCACATTCACCATCCACGCCTTGATTATTTTCGATGATGAGGGTTGTTTTGTTTTCAATATTTGTTGTCATTTTGATAACCCTTGCTGTGCCGGGGGCAAATTCATTGTATATGTTGCATAATGATTTTTGTTTTGTTTCAAGCACACAATGCTACAATGGAAAATGAAGTGGAAACTCTAGTAATTTATTCAAACGCATTCGTGAGTTCTAACGCGTAATAATGGGATGTGTAACATTCCACTTGGTTTTGAAGTTCCATGCTCCTAGCCGCGCTTCCACTGCAGGGAATTTTGGAGGCCAGGCACCAGTTATAAATTTATTACAAAATATTCAATTATGGGCAAAATTTCAGTCAAAATTATAAACTTTATATTGGGTTGTATTAGGAATAGTGCATCAAACAATTTTCCAAATTGAGTACTCCGCCCTTCTTATAATTTGTGTGCCAGATTTGGTAAAAGAAAAATTAGATCCTCACAAAAACTCAATATTTTAGGATAACGCGCTACATTGTGCATGTTTTAATGTCCCACTAATTATTTAATCCATGATTTACAATCTTCAACAACATTAAGTTTGCTAATGCGTGTTTTTTTTGTATTTTTGCAGTTGTAAAAAGGATGAAATTACACAAGTTTGTGTTCGCTTGTTCTACTCATTACACATTCAACAATTGATGAGAAATCATTGAAAAGGACAGCGAACAGTTGCTGGGATACCACTTTCGGATGTAAAAATTCTAAATCCTGAAATTTCATGTGCTCTTTTATCTCATCACCTGGTGAACAGTTGCAGATTAGCGCATAACTTTTCGACGTCTTGTAGCATGGGGTCAAAGGAAAGTGGCTTGATTCCACTCCTTTCTTTTACCTCTGTGGGTATATAAAGCGTTAAACAAATTGACAAGGAAACGGTTTGTACCTGTGAATCAGTTCCGCGCAGTCGATCCAATGCTTGACCAACAGCATACCGGCGTCCTTCAAGGGAGTTGTACTCATCAGAACCATTGAAAGATTCGTTTCCGTAGAAGCCTCTATTTTGTCTACTTGGATTTTCATACCGTTGTTCACTGAAAAAACAACAACATTGTTTTTCATCAGTGTAAACATTGTAAAAAAATAGCATCACCAAATTTACAAAATGTGTCGAGACAGAAGACCATCACTGAGAACTGTGATGGGCCAATCAAGTGGTTCACTGCATCTCTAAGATAAGGTTTATAATTATATAAATAAATGTAGACAGGTCGATAGAGGTACGGTATTTACACATAGACAGGGGATTGATAGATAGATTGATAGATAGTTTCTAACTATCATGCATACAAAATGTCAAGAAGAGTTAAATATCACTTGGCAAGGCACCTCTAGATACATCTAAAGCAAGTCAAAAATACATATATAGATCCCATACTTTAAGGCATTGCCATCATGAAATTGTCAACATAAAACTACCATTTAATGTTTTTTTTTATCCGATTCAAGTCTAGAGCTATCATCTTGCAAGTAAAGTCGTCATATATACTGAAATCAAAGATGTGGTCAGTAATAGCTTGAGCTTTTTTATTTGTAAATTTATTGTAATACTCACGCGAGCATCAGTTTTGTTGCTTGATTTTGTCTAACACCTTGTACGAAAACACAGCAGACACAGGTTATGAGGACGAGAACAAAACCAAAAACTCCGAGAGCAATACCAATGATGGCTCCATTCGACAATCCTTGAGAAGCTGCAAAATAAATGTATCAGATATGCGATTCAGAAAAACAAGACCAGACAAATATACATGTACATGTACGCAAAATCAGTTGTGACTGTGCAAAGAAAAGAGAGTACTCTCACATCCATTTCTTGTGAAACTGTATATAAAATCATATATATATATATATATATATAAACGTGTATGCCTAGGGAGAATGAGTGAGAGGGAGCATAAACACACTAAAAATGACTAATCACACAACTTACCATTCTGGCAAAGGTCTCCTGTAAAACCAGCTGGACAATTACAAGGCTGTCCAGAAGAAGTACATTCCCCGCCGTTCTGGCAATTTGATTGATCATTCATTTCAAAGATATAGGAATGATTCAAATTCTTCTGATAACTGACCAACTTATTTTGTCGTTATTTATTGACAAGGTATAGACAGTAGAAAACACAAGAACTCCATAAAACTACTCTAATATGAACAAATAATAATAATAATAATAATACAGTCTACTGAATACTACATGTGCTTCGACAGCTATATGTGTACAATTTTTGAAATTGTCTAATTCATAGAACTATAAGTATGGAATATAATAAGTGGCGTCATTCTTCCAGCTTATTTTGGTACCATTTTTGTTGGGCATCTCTTCACGGTTGACTGCACAGGGGTCGAATCCCATGGATTGGACAATGTCAAACTCCATGTGCACCAGCACAATGCCTTTTCTTGCCTTGATATTGATACATAACCATCTTTGATTCAATATTGCATGATGACATAACAATAGGTTTAAATGCAAGTCACTCAAATATATCATAATTTGAAGCCTACATTTATTTGTCTCAAAAACATTTGAAAAACAAACACTAATTGCTGTATGTTAGAGTGCATCTTGAACACAACATCTTATCGCTTGGTTGCATCAAATACTCACTCCAGTCCTTAGTGATAGAGAGTTGATTACCAATTAATCCTAGATATATGATATTGCAAATAATTAAGGACCATCAAATAAAAATCACAAATGTTTAACAGTTGCAAGGCTATACTAATTTCTGATACAAAAAGTATCTAAAATCGACCTGTTGATTGTGTCCTCTGGTATTGCCTGTCATTTGCGAAGTGGCTTTTTATACATTGCAGACAAGTGAACTCATTTCAAGATACCCAGTCACAATCAACACAATTATTTGTTTTGAGAACTATAAAGCTAATATATATTGTATGTGAAATACAATATCCTCTTGTAAGGTGTCTTAAGAGAAGAATGGCTGGTGAAAAAAGCCTGGATTTTACTCTTACCTTCTGACAATATAGACGATACCAGAAGAGTTTGACCATTAGCTGATAACATTTGATCAATGTTGGTAGACAAAGCAGAAACACTCACAGCAAGCCCATCTGCTACACTTTGGCTGTCAGCGGCAAGTTCCATTTGCAGGTCACCGACTACACTACCTTCGCTTAATGACAGCACTATGCAATTATCACCGACAAGTTGAGAACCTAACTGTTCCCTTACATATTGGCTGAACTGATGAATGAGAAAGTAGAGAAAAACAGAATCAGATTATGCTTGTATACATATGTGTAGTTCATGAAAATATATTTTCTTTATTTTTTGTTTTCAAAGATAGAGTTCAGTTCCAATTATGCACTGAAAAATCAATAGAGAAAGGTTGATTATGTAGTGCACACACATTAATGTAAACTATGAGGTTCTGGAAACATCACAATGATCAGAAATAAAACACTAATAACCCATAGCAGTACAGTATCTCCTCTTACTGCAATGACATTTTAGCATGATCTTTTAGATCTACAACGCTAAGAAGGACACATTAAACATGATCAGAAACAGGAAAAATCACCCCCCAAAAATTGTCAGATGCAGAACACTGTGCCATTCTCAAATCGGAGCGATTAGATTATAAGTAATCATTTATAATAATAATAATAATAATATTGGGTTCTTGTATAGCGCTCATGTCAGTTAGAATTGACCCTCCTGGCGCTCCCGATTATTACCCTAGCTTTAGCACGGCTGCTATACGGCGCTCTTGCATTTCAAGGAATAAATTCCTACCAGGTACCCATTGACTTCACCTGGGTGGAGTGTGGCAAATGTATATCAATGTATTTTCGTGTACAGATTGGCAATTTGAACTTACATTTTGAAATTTTCTTTTGCACTCATTCATTCAATAAATATTCCAATTTGTTTGATCAAACTAAGAAAGAGTGGAAGCAATATTAATTGCTGCTAATTTGAGGAGGCAAAACTGATTTATTTAGAAAATAAGAAAACTCCGATGTCTGAAGAGCATGAATGTGACTGCGTCTCCAATATGCCTCTGTCTATATGGATGTTAGTTGACCAATACTCCTCTGACTTAAACATCAACCCATTATTGCAGTGAAGATATATTTTCTGGTAAGTTTAACGCTTTCATGACCACGTGACTTTTGACATCTTTCACCTAAGATCCAATCAGTTCACCTTTGAATGCTCATGCATACTTCATCCAAGTATGGTGTGAATTGCTACAGTGTGTTTTCAAGTTATTGCATAAACAAGATACATTTTTGGTATTTGAAAACACACTGATGAGCCTGTGACATTTGACCTTCGAGTTTAACACCAAAAATATAGTCAGTTCAACTTTTCATACTCATACTTGTACATATTTCAGCCAAGTTTTGTCAAAATGGGATGAACGGAGGACGGACTGGCAAGACGATAAAAACAATGTCTACAGTTGACTACTGCACTACCTGACATTTGTATGGACATCTTAATGTGATATATAATGTATGGTGATTATGTAGTGTGTTGGATTTGCAAGCTGAAGAGACACCACTTGTACATATTTGCGTCTACAAAATTTTCATCAATTTTCTCGCATTTACTGATGAAGAAAGATATACTTACGATGTAACAGAATGCAACTTCATATTCAATGAATTTGGCTGATGTCCTATCTGTTAATTCTGATGTATACGTCAGGGGTTCACCATTCAGACTTTGTCCTGTAATCTGCACAGTCACTTGACTAGTGGACAGACTGCTTGAGAGAGCTGGATATACAGAGAAAGAAAAACAAAGACAATGGCATGAAGCCAAGATATTTTTGGATACTGCAATGTGTTTCCTCCATGCAAAAAACATGAATACATTCGGTTTTGTATTCTCATGAAACAAGATTTCCATAAGGAGACTACAGACGGAAAGTGTACAATATATGCAATACCAGCCTCGTCAGATGAATTATAAGGAATGTATCAAGTCATTTTCATTTATGTAGACTTAATTATTTATACCCTTAACAGTTTTGTAATTATTTAAGTACTTGATAAATAGTTTTCTCTCAAGTTACATCTAAAAGTATTCAACAAAGTCCCTCATTCAACTAATCCACCTTTAAATATCAAATTTATAAGGGGTATCAGTAATTCAGTTGGTAACTGTTTATAGGTTTGACCAATTAACATTTGATGAAAAATTTTGCAAACATTTTACAAATGCATGCCTTCTTTCTAGATTGAATGGCCAAATTCCCACTACATTCTGTCTGGTGTGAGTTATTTTGAATACTACTCATGTTTTTGTTTCATTATTAGTTGTTATACACTTTTGAAATCACATGCCAAAACTAATAAAAATTCGTGTTTGAATAATGAACTATGTCTTCATTCAATTCGGCATGAAAGTGAATTATCTTGATATTGATTTGTTTGTTTTTTGTCTTCCTGTATTTCTAATTTCACAAAGTTGATCATGAAACCCATATTTTTTCTTATGGAAAAAGAAAAACTTGTATTTAGACATACCAGTGCAAGAATTTTCATTCTCTAACATGAATCCAGCATTGCAGACACAAGTGTATGATCCATCCACGTTGACACATCTTCCATCACTACAGAGACTCGAACTAAGCTCACACTCATTAACATCTATAGCACAGTGGTAAAATCAAAATGTGAAACAATCTCATGAGTTACTTTACTAATGATTATAATATTGACAATTATAATTATGATAATAATAATAATAATAATAATGCTGATATCGATGATTGTCGTTGGCTTATTTCAGTGGTTGAATTCAGTACATGCAATCGCATTGGCAAAAACCTGAAAGTGATTGGGAAAAGGTTGATAACATTTTAAAATTCTTTGAGATCGCATTTTGAGATTAAACAAGAGAAAAAAAAAAACATCTGAAACATAAGAACGTTTAGACTCTGTCCCTATCGTGAATTACGAGAACTTTTTCAAAAATTGCTGAACTCGTTGTAAAAATATGAGATCATGGTGAACACAAGAAGTAGGAATATATTTGCCTGTACCCACAAAAAGAAAGAAAATATCCCCATTTCCTTCTTTTATATGATGGCAAGAAAATGTTATGATTAAGCTGACCTGTTTCACACATATCCCCAGTAAAGCCAGCAACACAGGCGCAAATGAAAGAGTCAACTCCATCGGTACAACTTCCTCCATTTGTACAAGGATTTGGAGAACAATCGTTGATATCTGATGGTTGGATTTTTGATACAAAACAACAATAAATAAATGCATGTAGTAAGTAGATAGATAAATTAATTAAAAATAAATAAATGAATGAATGGGAAAATGAATTTATATTTATGACAAATGCATGAATATATGAATTCATTTTTTACAAAACATAAGTAATTATAATACAGCCCCATCTCTAAAGTAGATGGTGTAATAATGTATATTTTCTGGCTGTTTTTTTAAATGTTTCACAACTAGCTTTATACATGTATATGACCAACCTTAACAACACTTAAAAACATAACATAGCATGTTCACGTATGTCTTAAAATTATCAAAACATGAGAACGAATTATTATCCAATAAGCAATCAATATTCAAATCAAATGAAACCAAATAAATCTGTATTTATTCATTTTATCCGTTTTTAAAATTCTAACAAAGTAGCATTGTCAGTTAAAACAATGCTGTCCATATTGGCCTGTTGGCCTAGACAATAATAGGATTAAGTATTGAATCAAATGACCAGGGTAAAAGTATATCTTTAAAGTGCCTAGAGACATTTGTATTAAGCGCTATATAAAAGCGGAATATTATTATTATTATTATCATTATCATTATCAAATATTGAAATTATACACAAATAAATTGCTAAATTCTATATACATATAACCAATAACGATTTAAGGCAAACTAAGAATAAATTATCAATAAAGAAAACGAATGCAAAGACTTTGTTGAAAATTACAAGAAAATTAAAATAGAATACCCCCAAAACAACACACCAAAAGACAAATAAATAAACAACATCAACATTAAAATCCAACCCACTACTAACTATAACAATGCTATTACAAACTAACATAATTAAAGGGCACTCCAAACCTTGTAATAACTTCGTTTGCGTGAAAGCAGAAAAAACAGATGAACATGATGTCAAAAGTTTTAACGAAATCGACCCAATAATAAGAAAATTATGGATGTTTGAAATATGAAATCACCACATTTTTGCAAATATCAAAATAGCAATAAGTGGATTGTGACGTAATGCAGACAACTCCCTCGTCTGTCATGTACAGCATTAATCTTTTTCTTCTAAGTGCCTTGTCCCTTAAGGCACAATGGACAGCATAGTATTATAACTATTCTTAAAGAGAAATAGCATCACCAAGTCATACATTAAAAAAAAAAAAAATTCTAGTCATTTCATGTGCAAATGGAAAATATGGGAAAGATGAACGCCAGTACATCAAAGAGATATATTACCGATTCAGCTAATTTGAAGAGAGTGAGACCATACTTTTAAAAAAAAATCAAATCATAATTTTCTCATGTTTTATCTGATTTAATTCAAACTTTCACAAGTCTACTTTTTTGTTTTGTTTTGAGTAGTTTGCTATCAAGGTTTCATTTCCCTTCTACGGAAAAGAAATGAGTGATGTGGAGTGAAAACTGAATTGCCTACAGTAATAGCAACATATTTCGGGATTCGATCAAATCCCAATGCTTTGTCGTTGATAAGAACATGTGTATCAGCTTTTGAATTGAATTATTTAGTATTTCTTTATATGCATGGATAATCTATTTACTTATTTATTACTTATTTTAATTGTGACTATTATTATTTATTTACTGATTTCTTGTTATTTGTATATTATTATTATTATTTTCTTAGTACTTACTAATCTCGCACATAGTACCGGTAAAACCAGTAACACAATCACATAGTCCAGAGCTTACGCAAGTTCCGCTATTCTGGCAAACAACGGAGCCACAATCAGCTGCAAAAAAAAAGGGTGAGAAAATGATAAATGATTCAGATCCTATGGCACATTAGAGGATGTCATAGTCAAGTGGCTACAACACCCAAGAGCGAAGGCATAACAATTTGAGAGGATCTGTAGTCTTTTGTCTGAGTACCAAATCTCCATTCATTTTTTAAAATTAGAAAATGAACATAAACATGGAGAAACATATCCGTATATTTTCAGGAATCAAACAGTTAAGTTTGTTCAAAAAAGCTTTAAAAAAATTCACATCCTGACCATACATATTTTTTTTAGAAGACATGCAAACACTCAAAGAAATAGAGTTCGAAAATTACAAGTTTATGCATAATAAAATGAAAAGACAATTATATATGTTTTAATGAAGAAAAAAACTGTGGTATAATACATTATTTCACCTAATGTAAAAAAAGTGTATTCTGGCAAACAACGGAGCCACAATCAGCTGCAAAAAAAAAAAGGGTGAGAAAATGATAAATGATTCAGATCCTATGGCACATTAGAGGATGTCATAGTCAAGTGGCTACAACACCCAAGGGCGAAGGCATAACAATTTGAGAGGATCTGTAGTCTTTTGTCCGAGTACCAAATCTCCATTCATTTTTTAAAATTAGAAAATGAACATAAACATGGAGAAACATATCCGTATATTTTCAGGAATCAAACAGTTAACTTTGTTCAAAAAAGCTTTAAAAAAATTCACATCCTGACCATACATATTTTTTTTTAGAAGACATGCAAACACTCAAAGAAATAGAGTTCGAAAATTACAAGTTTATGCATAATAAAATGAAAAGACAATTATATATGTTTTAATGAAGAAAAAAACTGTGGTATAATACATTATTTCACCTAATGTAAAAAAAGTGTATTCAAACTATTTTTTTTATCTGCACAAGCTTATAGCATATGGCATGTTCAAAGTTGATCAATACAAACTCTGTAACGTGGTCCCACATGTAGAAATCCACGTGCTGGATGAGCTAATAATTATGAGACCGCGGGCACCAATCCTCACGGTTGAGGCCCAATTTACGAAATGAAATGACTCAGGCCTCCTTCTCATTCTAATTTAAAAGGAAACTACTGCATTTTCAGATAAATATCGAAGATTATTTACCTGTTGTACAAGTATCTCCACTGAAGCCAGAGGCACAAGTACAGGTAAAGGTGTTAACTCCATCAGTACAACTTCCACCATTCATACAAGGATTAGGAGAACAATCGTTGATGTCTGATTTGGATGAATACAAGTTGTTAAAATTATATCTAAAAATTAGAATAGGAATATTTCACGGATGATTGTATTTCAACTACAAATGTGTATGCGTTTTGGTGCATACGTTTTCGTTCTTTTGTCTTAGCAGGCAGGGCATTGTTTCATGAAACCGTCTTAACCCAAATCCAATTGAAACGCATGTTTAACTTAATTCATATATATGCTAAAGATACTATGTTCCTTTTGCAGCCAACATCAAATTCTGTAGAACTTTGCAGGAATTATGAATATGTAATGTATGTCCTATCTGTGAAATTTAAACGTTAGCAGTATTCTTATATTCAAATTATGCAAGAAAACCTGTTTACTTGCTAGACTTCACTGTCAGACACTATTGAGTGACTGACTGGCTTTTTTTTTCTTTGGTAATGACATTTACATGCACATAAAATGAGCTTTAAAAGGTACATCAGCATTTGTCTACATCAATAACCCACTTCCTGTAACAGCCAAAATTAAACTGATTGATCTTTGTGCAGCACAAAACGTATGACCATTCGGTACAATGGTCTGAAAATCAGACTATTACTTACTGGATTTGACAACTAATATTCATTATTTTTCCACTTAAAGACATTTTCAAGCCCCCCTTTTTTAAGGGAAGTTCTAAATTAGTATTATCTTTCAAATACCGTTAGAATTTAAGCTTATCTTTTTTTTTGCCTGCAAATGGGACATAGTACCTTTAATGAGATGTCGGTGAACTTGTATTTATGTCAGTTCCTGAAACGATGCCCTGAGTATCTACAAAGTGTTAGAATCATCATGATTGCCAGAGGGAATTTCTTTAAAATAACAAATCTTTAACATTGAACAGCAATTTGTATTATTTTGAATCTCACCCTTCCCCCAGACGAAAAACAAAAAAGCCTCAACAACCACAAAAAAAAAGTGATATCAATGTGTGAAATAGAGTAATTTATTGTGGGAATCACAATATCCGATCTTCTCTTTAAATGACCATGCACTCCAATTTGAGATTGTACGTGGCTCTACATGGGTGGCCATCTTTAAATCCAGATGAGAAGGGAGCAAATTTGTATTGATTTTGCTCTATGAAAAAAGAGTTTATTTATGTAGGTATGTAACCTGCTTTGATTGTATAGCTTACCTGTTTCACACATATTGCCAGTGAAGCCAGCAACACAGGCACATGTATAGCTGTTCACTCCATCAGTACAAGCTCCTCCATTCATACAAGGATTAGGAGTACAATCGTCGATATCTGTGCAAATTGAGTTCCAAAGACATTGAATGGGATGAAAATGACAATAAAAATAATTTCCTTTTTGACAGATTTATTATTTTGGTTTTGCCGATAATAGAAAAATCAAGTAAAAGCTGGGATTTTAAATGCGGTTGAATGACAGTTGAGAAATGAATAAATTCTTTTGCAAAACTACTAGTATATAAATCAAATGAAGTAAATGAAACGAAAGTTTCTTTTAAGTGTTCGTGCTAAAAGAAGCAGGAAAGTACAGCAAGTGATCTTTCATGTGGAGGTGAAATAAATGGTGAAAATGGACACAGAAATGTCCTGTACAGGGTCTGAGTTTCAAGAAACCTTAGTGCCAAAATATGAATCGATATGATAAGGAAAAAATATGCCACTCTGATCGTACCTTAAAACAAATCTAAGTAATTGTACAATAAGTCGTCTTGAATGTGAGTGTTATGATTTAAATTGATTGTTGGTAAATGATGTTATCTTTAAATATCATAAAACATGTATATAGCATTATCTTTAACTCCTTGTGGTGATTGTCATTGTGCAGAAATTATAAGAATGACCTGTATACAGTAAAACATGTCTATAGATTATATCAAAGTGAAGCACAACAATTAAGTGGCCAATGTAGGCAGGTGTCCTTTCTAGACAGGTTCTTTATATGAACACATCTTTCTATCTAGAGGGAGGCAATGAGGGTAACCAGTAAAGTCGGGTGGCCTTTATAGAGGGGTGGTAGGTGGGCACGGTTGACTTTATGTGTATTATGAACAAGTATGTATCTTTTAAAAGAATAATTGTGTCCTGGAATGAAAATACCGAGGACAAATCCAAATTTGTGACATACCTGTTTGGCATGTATCTCCTGTATAGCCAGCAGCACAGTTACAAGTGAAGGAGTTCACTTCATCAACACAAACTCCACCATTCATACAGGGAGTAGTAGAACAATCATCAATATCTGTATGGGTTAAAAAATAGTAATCATATATCAATTAAAATGTGAAGCATAATAAGCCAGTAAACAAAGAATAATATATTCAAAGCCCATACTCATAGTATTGGATACAGCTTGGTTTTTGTAGCAGTTTCACGATGCGTTTGTTCATAAGGACAGGGGCAACTTGAACATTTATAATCAACAATGACATCTATCTTTAAGGAATAGCACAGATTGAAGAAATGCATTGTTAATAGCCTATTAACTGTTTCACAATTTCCAAATCTTGCCAGGGTTTCATTCCCCTTTAAAACACACAACATAATATGATAGAATAAATTAAAGTTCCTGCATTCTTAGTTTAGTATTAACAATAACACATTAACATATACAGATTAACCTGTACACCTGTTTAACCTACGAGAAATCATCATTTGTTCAAATGTTTTATATCTTTCATATATTCATAAATATTTACTTCCCTTCTTTAGGGGGGGGGGGGGGGGGCTGGGGGGCTGGGGGGGCTGGGGGGCTGGGGGGGGGGGGGGGGGTGGGTACTTACTTGTCTCGCACATAGTGCCAGTAAAACCAGTAACACAACGACATTGTCCGTCGCTTATGCATTCTCCGTTATTCTCGCAAACAGCGGAGCCACAAACAGCTGGAAAACAAAAGAGAGAAATAAAAGATGATATAGATCCTAAAGCACAATTGAGGATTTCATAGTCAATTGGCTACAACACTCAACGGTGAAAGCATAACACTAATACAAGGACCTGTAGTCTATTGTCCTTTCTCTGTTTAAATTAGAAAATGAACTTAATAGAGTACCGAAGCTGTGACGTCATAAAAATCTATTCTTAGAATTTCTCAATTTTTTCTTCATATTCCGAAAGAACATGAAAAATAATGTCCAAATGTCGAAAACCAATTGAATATGTTAAGTATTGGCTGAGATATGACCATCTGAATAAATATACTCCCCATAGGAACTCAGTGTTATATGCTCTGGCTCGTAATGGTTAGGAGCCAGAGCATATAACACTGAGTTCCCATAGGACATATATTCATTCAGATGGTCATATCTCAGCCAATACTTAACATATTCAATTGGTTCTCGACATTTGGACATCATTTTTGATGTTCTTTCGGAATATGAAGAAAAAATTGAGAAATTCTAAAAACAGATTTTTGATGACGTCACACTTCACCACTCTATTAATGCAGAAAAACATATCCATATATTTTCAGGAACCCTGATAGCTAACTTTGTTCAAATTAACTTTAAATCAGGAAGATGACACACTAGGCCATACATGTTTGATAAAAAAGGAATTCCGAGAAATTTGCTGATTTTAAAGGAAACTGGAATCTTAAAATCAGGAGTCCGTGAATACATTAATAGTCTTAAATGACAGAACACATATCTATTAACGGAACGTGGAAATGTGCATGCCAATTCACCTAGTTTAAAAAGTGATATTTTAGCCACCATCGTAATCTTAGCGACCCATGTTTGAGCTCCATTAATGGATGAAGTCAATAATGTGAACTACTCCCCGCTCTTGTAAATATTAAGATCATGGTAAAAATGATCCTGGCTTCAATCATCAGGGTCTGGGCTCGGACTACAAAACGCAATGGCTTGGGCCTATTTCTCATATTTATTAAAAAACAACAACTATTCAGATAAAGATTAAAAAAGATTTACTTGTTGCGCAGGTATCTCCGTTGAAGCCATCAGCACAGACACAGGTAAAAGTGTTCACTCCATCAGTACAACTTCCACCATTCATACAAGGATTAGGAGAACAATCGTCGATGTCTGATGTGGATGAATACAAGTTGTGAAAAATATGTCAACAAATTAGATAAAGGATATTTCTATCTACAAAGTTTTAAAATCATCAAAATGTCAGAAGGATTTTTTTTCAAAAATCAAATCTCTAACATTGACAACCAATTTGTATTACCTTTGAATGTCCCTTTTTAACCTGATTTAAAAGAAATACTTAAAAGCATTAACAAAGATGTATTGAGCGCCATATAAAAAAAACAGAATATTATTATTATTATTATTGTAAAGTACAACCTCTTCCTCGGAAAAAAGGTAAGCAACAATATTGTTTTAATGAGATCGTTGTTGGAATTTAAATATCGACACTGCTTTTTAAATGAAAGTGCACTCCAACTGTGCCATGTGTCTTCGCGAAATTAAAAAGGAGTGTTGTTTCACTCATTACTGCAATAAAATGTGAAACATCCTCCCATCTTTTGTCTGTACTTTCACAACTTTTGTTCCTGAATGAATAAAAACCTAACAGAATTTTCTTTTACAATTACTAGATGTTACCTTTTTTTAATTTGCTTGTTTGTCTCTTTATTTTTAATTTCCTGATGAAGGAGAGAAAAGAAATCGTTGAATTTTATTTAACATAACAAATTGTGTGTATGAAGGAATGTAATCTGATTTAAATTTGAAGCTTACCTGTTTCGCACATACTCCCAGTGAAGCCCAGCAAGCAGGCACAAGTATAGCTGTTCACTCCATCAGTACAGGCTCCTCCATTCATACATAGATTAGGAGTACAATCATCGATATCTGTGCCAATCGAGTTTCAAAGACAATGAATGGGAAAATTATGACAAGTAAACTAACTGCCATTTTGACCGATTTATCTTTAAATTGGTGGATAACAGGACAATTTAGTAAACACTGGTATTTCCGATGCAAATTAATGGCAGTTCAGAATTGAATTACTTCATTTGCAAAATCATTAATAAATAATCAAACAAAGTAAATTAACTAATTATCTCTTTTAATAATTGTATGTTCAGAAAAAAACGTGTCCATGAAAAGAATTTAAAAAAAAAAAAAAAAAAAAATTATTGTCTGACAAACCGTTCCCCTGCCAGAAAAAAACGGTGAGTAAAATAAATGAGCTTTTCTTTGGGGTGAAATGAACGTAAGAAGGAATGCATACATGTCTTATACATGGTCGGAGTGTCAAGACGCCTGAGCCCTAAAATTTGAATAGCTATGATCAGTTAAAAAGACAGTGAAGTGGATAGAAATGATGAGAAAATATTTTCTTTTTTGACATATTTATCTATATTTGGGAAATAACAGGAAAATTAAATAATTTTTTTCCTTTCTAATGCAAATTATTGACAGTCAAGGTATTAAATATTTCATTAAAAAAAAAATTTAATAAACACGTTTCTCTAAAACAAAATGAACAAAATGAACCAAATATCTCTTTTGTTGAATCTTTTTAAAAATCTTGGCCTAAGAAAGAAATTATTTGATGGAAAAAACCTGATTGTCTGGCAAACTTGAATTGTCCCTACTAGAAAGAGAGGGTAAGTAAAGCGAGTGATCTTTCATTTGGGGGTAGAATAAATGGTGAAAACGGACGCAGAAATGTCCTATACATTGTCCGAGTTTAAAGATACCTTAGCGCCAAAAGTAGAATCAATATGACCAGGATGAAATATGCCACACTGATCGTACCCTCAAACAAATCTTAATTAACAGTACAATAAGTTGCTGTGAATGTAATTGTACAAATTTGAAATCATAGTTGGAAAATGATGATCATTTAATATCACAGAACATGTACATAGCAGTAACTCTTTGGGGGTGATTGCCAATTTAACACAAATACAGGAAAACATGTCTATTGATGCCACCCAAAGGGAACACAAAACATAGACGAAGTAGGCAAATATATGTATATATATATATATATATGAACCATATTTCTATTTGTAGGGAGGCAATACGAGTTACTGGTATAGACAGATGGCCTTTATAGAAGCATGGCTACTTGGGCATGTTTGACTTTACATCTTTGTTTAAAACACCAACATGAAAATGTTGTATCCATCATGAAACAGGTTAGAATCTTGTCAAAAATCGTGTTCTGGAATGAAAATACTGAGGACAAATCCCAGTTTGTGACATACCTGTTAGGCATGTATCTCCTGTATAGCCAGCAGCACAGTTACAAGTGAAGGAGTTCACTTCATCAACGCAAACTCCACTATTCATACAGGGATTTGTAGAACAATCATCAATATCTGTATGGGTTAAAAAATAGTAATCATACATCAGTTAAAATTTGAAGCATAATTAAAGCCAGTAAACAAAGAATAATATTGCTAAATATACTACTCATTGCGGATGTAGTATCGAAAATAATATCGCTAGTGATATTCGTTTGGATGCAGACGATACGCCACCATGACACTCACCGTCCTGCCGGCAAACATCAGTCGATTCCATTCAGCAGACGGGCCGAGCCAGCGGCCCGTTGATTGGTTGAGCACCGTATGCGTCGGCCAATAGGCCTGGTGCATTAGCCGAGCCAGCGGCCGAACCAGCAGCCTGGTGATTGGTCGATCACCGTGTGCGTCGACCAATAGGCATTGTGCGTTATTGTTCTAATTATCGATTGAATTATAGACCGCTCCGCCGGCCTCCCGTAAAGTATAAAAGACCCTTGCTTACATTAGTTTTTATCACCTGACGAAGTGTTGCAGATAGCGCACAAAACGTCGTGATCTTTTAGATTCCTTATTGACCACATTGTGAGACAAACGAATATCACTAGCGATATTATTTTCGAATGAATAATAAATTCAAAGCCCATACGCAAAGTATTGGATACAGCTTGTTTTTGTAGCAGTTTGTTCACAAGGACAGGGGCAACTTGAACATAATCAACAATGACATCTATTTTTAAGGAACAACACAGATTTAAGACATACATTGTTAATAGCCTATTAACTGTTTCACAATTTACAAATCTTGCCAGGGTTTCATTCCCCTTTAAAACACACAACATAATATGATTGAATAAATTAAAGTTCCTGCATTCTTAGTTTAGTATTAACAATAACACATTAACATATACAGATTAACCTGTACATCTGTTTAACCTACGAGAAATCATCATTTGTTCACATGTTTTATATCTTTCATATATTCATAAATATTAACTTCCCATTTTTTTTTTTTTTTTTTTTTTTTTTGGGGGGGGGGGGGGGTTGGGGTAGGGAACTTACTAGTCTCGCACATAGTGCCAGTAAAACCAGTAACACAACGACACTGTCCATCGCTTATGCATTCCCCGTTATTCTCGCAAACAGTGGAGCCACAAACAGCTGCAAAACAAAAGAGAGAATAATAAATAATTTACATCCTACAGCACATTAGAGGATTTCAAAGTAAATTAGCTACAACATTTAAGGGTGAAGGCATAACACTTTACACGGACCTGTAGTCTATTGTCCGAATGTCAACTCTCCATTCTCCTTTTAAATTAGAAAATGAACTTAATGCAGAGAAACCTATCCATATTCTTAGGAACCTTAACAACCAACTTTGTTCAAAGTAACTTTTATATCATGTAGATAACACACCGGGACATACATGTCTGATGAAAAAGGATTTCCGAGAAATTTGCTGATTTAAAAAAAAACTGGAATCTTAAAATCAGGAGTCCGTGAATAATTGCATAGTCTTAAATGACAGAACACTAATATCTTTTAACGAAACATGGTAATGTGCATGACACTTTACCTAGTGTCAAAAGTGATATTTTAGCCACCATCATAATCTTAACGACCCAAGTTTGAGCTCCATTCATAGATAAAGTCAATATATAATGTGAACTGCTCCCCGCTCTCGTAAATATTAAGATCATGGTGAAAAGGAGCCTGGCTTCAATCATCGGGTTCTGGCCTCGGACTACAAAACGAAACGGCTTGGGCCTACTTCTCTTATTTATTAAAAGACCACAACTATTCAGATAAAGACTCAAAATGATTTACTTGTTGCGCAAGCATCTCCACTAAAGCCATCAGCACAGACTAGGTATTTACTCTGATTCGACAGTATAGCTTACCTGCACACGTATCCCCAGTAAAACCAACAGCACAGGTGCAAGTAAAGGAGCTGACTCCATCAACGCAATCTCCTCCATTCATACAAGGACTGCTGGAACATTCGTCGATCTCTGTGCAAATGAAGTTCCAAAGATAGAGAGTGCGATGAAAGTGACAAGAAAACAATTCCCATTTTGACAGATTTTTTTGTTTTGTTTGGGGGATGACAGGAACATGAAATTAAAAAACTGATATGTTGTATTCTAAATAATGACAGCTGAGGATTAATTTCACTTCAGATAGAAAAGAAATAGCAATTTTAGCAAATGAGGTAAATTAACTCAATGTCTCGTTTAATATTCGTATTTATTTCAGAATTGTTGCCTGAGATAGAAAATATTTTCAGGTAGAAATAAAAATTCGAAATAAACGTGCATGTGTCCCTGCCAGAAAAAAGGGACAGGAAAGCTTGAAATCTTTCATTTGGGATGAAAAAACAATGTCCTATACAAGGTTCAAGTTTACAGACACCTAAAGGACAGGAGTTCACTGGTTAGGATTGGGATGCAAAGATTTTCCTCTCCAAATACTAGATATTATGTCTAATTTCGTCCTTGTGTACCTTTTATTTATATCTTTCGAAGAGCAAGGAGGCATTGCATTACTCAAAAAGAGTATTAATGTAGGTATTTACTCTGATTCGACAGTATAGCTTACCTGCACACGTATCCCCAGTAAAACCAACAGCACAGGTGCAAGAAAAGGAGCTGACTCCATCAACGCAATCTCCTCCATTCATACAAGGACTGCTGGAACATTCGTCGATCTCTGTGCAAATGAAGTTCCAAAGATAGAGAGTGCGATGAAAGTGACAAGAAAACAATTCCCATTTTGACAGATTTTTTTGTTTTGTTTGGGGGATGACAGGAACATGAAATTAAAAAAACTGATATGTTGTATTCTAAATAATGACAGCTGAGGATTAATTTCACTTCAGATAGAAAAAAATTGCAATTTTAGCAAATGAGGTAAATTAACTCAATGTCTCGTTTAATATTCGTATTTATTTCAGAATTGTTGCCTGAGATAGAAAATATTTTCAGGTTGAAATAAAAATTCGAAATAAACGTGCATGTGTCCCTGCCAGAAAAAAGGGACGGGAAAGCTTGAAATCTTTCATTTGGGATGAAAAAACAATGTCCTATACAAGGTTCAAGTTTACAGACACCTAAAGGACAGGAGTTCACTGGTTAGGATTGGGATGCAAAGATTTTCCTCTCCAATTACTAGATATTATGTCTAATTTCGTCCTTGTGTACCTTTTATTTATATCTTTCGAAGAGCAAGGAGGCATTGCATTACTCAAAAAGAGTATTAATGTAGGTATTTACTCTGATTCGATAGTATAGCTTACCTGCACACGTATCCCCAGTAAAACCAACAGCACAGGTGCAAGTAAAGGAGCTGACTCCATCAACACAATCTCCTCCATTCATACAAGGACTGCTGGAACATTCGTCGATCTCTGTGCAAATTAAGTTCCAAAGATAGAGAGTGCGATGAAAGTGACAAAAAAACAATTCCCATTTTGACAGATTTTTTTGTTTTGTTTGGGGGATGACAGGAACATGAAATTAAAAAACTGATTTTTTGTATTCTAAATAATGACAGCTGAGGATTAATTTCACTTCAGATAGAAAAAAATTGCAATTTTAGCAAATGAGGTAAATTAACTCAATGTCTCGTTTAATATTCGTATTTATTTCAGAATTGTTGCCTGAGATAGAAAATATTTTCAGGTTGAAATAAAAATTCGAAATAAACGTGCATGTGTCCCTGCCAGAAAAAAGGGACAGGAAAGCTTGAAATCTTTCATTTGGGATGAAAAAACAATGTCCTATACAAGGTTCAAGTTTACAGACACCTTAAGGACAGGAGTTCACTGGTTAGGATTGGGATGCAAAGATTTTCCTCTCCAAATACTAGATATTATGTCTAATTTCGTCCTTGTGTACCTTTTATTTTTATCTTTCGAAGAGCAAGGAGGCATTGCATTACTCAAAAAGAGTATTAATGTAGGTATTTACTCTGATTCGATAGTATAGCTTACCTGCACACGTATCCCCAGTAAAACCAACAGCACAGGTGCAAGTAAAGGAGCTGACTCCATCAACACAATCTCCTCCATTCATACAATGACTGCTGGAACATTCGTCGATCTCTGTGCAAATTAAGTTCCAAAGATAGAGAGTGCGATGAAAGTGACAAAAAAACAATTCCCATTTTGACAGATTTTTTTGTTTTGTTTGGGGGATGACAGGAACATGAAATTAAAAAACTGATTTTTTGTATTCTAAATAATGACAGCTGAGGATTAATTTCACTTCAGATAGAAAAAAATTGCAATTTTAGCAAATGAGGTAAATTAACTCAATGTCTCGTTTAATATTCGTATTTATTTCAGAATTGTTGCCTGAGATAGAAAATATTTTCAGGTTGAAATAAAAATTCGAAATAAACGTGCATGTGTCCCTGCCAGAAAAAAGGGACAGGAAAGCTTGAAATCTTTCATTTGGGATGAAAAAACAATGTCCTATACAAGGTTCAAGTTTACAGACACCTTAAGGACAGGAGTTCACTGGTTAGGATTGGGATGCAAAGATTTTCCTCTCCAAATACTAGATATTATGTCTAATTTCGTCCTTGTGTACCTTTTATTTTTATCTTTCGAAGAGCAAGGAGGCATTGCATTACTCAAAAAGAGTATTAATGTAGGTATTTCCTCTGATTCGACAGTATAGCTTACCTGCACACGTATCCCCAGTAAAACCAACAGCACAGGTGCAAGTAAAGGAGCTGACTCCATCAACGCAATCTCCTCCATTCATACAAGGACTGCTGGAACATTCGTCGATCTCTGTGCAAATGAAGTTCCAAAGATAGAGAGTGCGATGAAAGTGACAAGAAAACAATTCCCATTTTGACAGATTTTTTTGTTTTGTTTGGGGGATGACAGGAACATGAAATTAAAAAACTGATATGTTGTATTCTAAATAATGACAGCTGAGGATTAATTTCACTTCAGATAGAAAAGAAATAGCAATTTTAGCAAATGAGGTAAATTAACTCAATGTCTCGTTTAATATTCGTATTTATTTCAGAATTGTTGCCTGAGATAGAAAATATTTTCAGGTTGAAATAAAAATTCGAAATAAACGTGCATGTGTCCCTGCCAGAAAAAAGGGACGGGAAAGCTTGAAATCTTTTATTTGGGATGAAAAAACAATGTCCTATACAAGGTTCAAGTTTACAGACACCTAAAGGACAGGAGTTCACTGGTTAGGATTGGGATGAAAAGATTTTCCTCTCCAAATACTAGATATTATGTCTAATTTCGTCCTTGTGTACCTTTTATTTATATCTTTCGAAGAGCAAGGAGGCATTGCATTACTCAAAAAGAGTATTAATGTAGGTATTTACTCTGATTCGACAGTATAGCTTACCTGCACACGTATCCCCAGTAAAACCAACAGCACAGGTGCAAGTGAGGCATTGCATTACTCAAAAAGAGTATTAATGTAGGTATTTACTCTGATTCGACAGTATAGCTTACCTGCACACGTATCCCCAGTAAAACCAACAGCACAGGTGCAAGTAAAGGAGCTGACTCCATCAACGCAATCTCCTCCATTCATACAAGGACTGCTGGAACATTCGTCGATCTCTGTGCAAATGAAGTTCCAAAGATAGAGAGTGCGATGAAAGTGACAAGAAAACAATTCCCATTTTGACAGATTTTTTTGTTTTGTTTGGGGGATGACAGGAACATGAAATTAAAAAACTGATATGTTGTATTCTAAATAATGACAGCTGAGGATTAATTTCACTTCAGATAGAAAAGAAATAGCAATTTTAGCAAATGAGGTAAATTAACTCAATGTCTCGTTTAATATTCGTATTTATTTCAGAATTGTTGCCTGAGATAGAAAATATTTTCAGGTTGAAATAAAAATTCGAAATAAACGTGCATGTGTCCCTGCCAGAAAAAAGGGACGGGAAAGCTTGAAATCTTTTATTTGGGATGAAAAAACAATGTCCTATACAAGGTTCAAGTTTACAGACACCTAAAGGACAGGAGTTCACTGGTTAGGATTGGGATGCAAAGATTTTCCTCTCCAAATACTAGATATTATGTCTAATTTCGTCCTTGTGTACCTTTTATTTATATCTTTCGAAGAGCAAGGAGGCATTGCATTACTCAAAAAGAGTATTAATGTAGGTATTTACTCTGATTCGACAGTATAGCTTACCTGCACACGTATCCCCAGTAAAACCAACAGCACAGGTGCAAGTAAAGGAGCTGACTCCATCAACGCAATCTCCTCCATTCATACAAGGACTGCTGGAACATTCGTCGATCTCTGTGCAAATGAAGTTCCAAAGATAGAGAGTGCGATGAAAGTGACAAGAAAACAATTCCCATTTTGACAGATTTTTTTGTTTTGTTTGGGGGATGACAGGAACATGAAATTAAAAAACTAATATGTTGTATTCTAAATAATGACAGCTGAGGATTAATTTCACTTCAGATAGAAAAGAAATAGCAATTTTAGCAAATGAGGTAAATTAACTCAATGTCTCGTTTAATATTCGTATTTATTTCAGAATTGTTGCCTGAGATAGAAAATATTTTCAGGTTGAAATAAAAATTCGAAATAAACGTGCATGTGTCCCTGCCAGAAAAAAGGGACGGGAAAGCTTGAAATCTTTTATTTGGGATGAAAAAACAATGTCCTATACAAAGTTCAAGTTTACAGACACCTAAAGGACAGGAGTTCACTGGTTAGGATTGGGATGCAAAGATTTTCCTCTCCAAATACTAGATATTATGTCTAATTTCGTCCTTGTGTACCTTTTATTTATATCTTTCGAAGAGCAAGGAGGCATTGCATTACTCAAAAAGAGTATTAATGTAGGTATTTACTCTGATTCGACAGTATAGCTTACCTGCACACGTATCCCCAGTAAAACCAACAGCACAGGTGCAAGTAAAGGAGCTGACTCCATCAACGCAATCTCCTCCATTCATACAAGGACTGCTGGAACATTCGTCGATCTCTGTGCAAATGAAGTTCCAAAGATAGAGAGTGCGATGAAAGTGACAAGAAAACAATTCCCATTTTGACAGATTTTTTTGTTTTGTTTGGGGGATGACAGGAACATGAAATTAAAAAACTGATATGTTGTATTCTAAATAATGACAGCTGAGGATTAATTTCACTTCAGATAGAAAAGAAATAGCAATTTTAGCAAATGAGGTAAATTAACTCAATGTCTCGTTTAATATTCGTATTTATTTCAGAATTGTTGCCTGAGATAGAAAATATTTTCAGGTTGAAATAAAAATTCGAAATAAACGTGCATGTGTCCCTGCCAGAAAAAAGGGACGGGAAAGCTTGAAATCTTTTATTTGGGATGAAAAAACAATGTCCTATACAAGGTTCAAGTTTACAGACACCTAAAGGACAGGAGTTCACTGGTTAGGATTGGGATGAAAAGATTTTCCTCTCCAAATACTAGATATTATGTCTAATTTCGTCCTTGTGTACCTTTTATTTATATCTTTCGAAGAGCAAGGAGGCATTGCATTACTCAAAAAGAGTATTAATGTAGGTATTTACTCTGATTCGACAGTATAGCTTACCTGCACACGTATCCCCAGTAAAACCAACAGCACAGGTGCAAGTAAAGGAGCTGACTCCATCAACGCAATCTCCTCCATTCATACAAGGACTGCTGGAACATTCGTCGATCTCTGTGCAAATGAAGTTCCAAAGATAGAGAGTGCGATGAAAGTGACAAGAAAACAATTCCCATTTTGACAGATTTTTTTGTTTTGTTTGGGGGATGACAGGAACATGAAATTAAAAAACTGATATGTTGTATTCTAAATAATGACAGCTGAGGATTAATTTCACTTCAGATAGAAAAGAAATAGCAATTTTAGCAAATGAGGTAAATTAACTCAATGTCTCGTTTAATATTCGTATTTATTTCAGAATTGTTGCCTGAGATAGAAAATATTTTCAGGTTGAAATAAAAATTCGAAATAAACGTGCATGTGTCCCTGCCAGAAAAAAGGGACGGGAAAGCTTGAAATCTTTTATTTGGGATGAAAAAACAATGTCCTATACAAGGTTCAAGTTTACAGACACCTAAAGGACAGGAGTTCACTGGTTAGGATTGGGATGCAAAGATTTTCCTCTCCAAATACTAGATATTATGTCTAATTTCGTCCTTGTGTACCTTTTATTTATATCTTTCGAAGAGCAAGGAGGCATTGCATTACTCAAAAAGAGTATTAATGTAGGTATTTACTCTGATTCGACAGTATAGCTTACCTGCACACGTATCCCCAGTAAAACCAACAGCACAGGTGCAAGTAAAGGAGCTGACTCCATCAACGCAATCTCCTCCATTCATACAAGGACTGCTGGAACATTCGTCGATCTCTGTGCAAATGAAGTTCCAAAGATAGAGAGTGCGATGAAAGTGACAAGAAAACAATTCCCATTTTGACAGATTTTTTTGTTTTGTTTGGGGGATGACAGGAACATGAAATTAAAAAACTAATATGTTGTATTCTAAATAATGACAGCTGAGGATTAATTTCACTTCAGATAGAAAAGAAATAGCAATTTTAGCAAATGAGGTAAATTAACTCAATGTCTCGTTTAATATTCGTATTTATTTCAGAATTGTTGCCTGAGATAGAAAATATTTTCAGGTTGAAATAAAAATTCGAAATAAACGTGCATGTGTCCCTGCCAGAAAAAAGGGACGGGAAAGCTTGAAATCTTTTATTTGGGATGAAAAAACAATGTCCTATACAAAGTTCAAGTTTACAGACACCTAAAGGACAGGAGTTCACTGGTTAGGATTGGGATGCAAAGATTTTCCTCTCCAAATACTAGATATTATGTCTAATTTCGTCCTTGTGTACCTTTTATTTATATCTTTCGAAGAGCAAGGAGGCATTGCATTACTCAAAAAGAGTATTAATGTAGGTATTTACTCTGATTCGACAGTATAGCTTACCTGCACACGTATCCCCAGTAAAACCAACAGCACAGGTGCAAGTAAAGGAGCTGACTCCATCAACGCAATCTCCTCCATTCATACAAGGACT